TGGTTCGTCTCCCCCTCCGATTTCCCCCCTTCATTCTTCCCCTCCTATCTTTTTTTTTCTTAACATATATTGCATTATTTGTTTCAGAGGTACAGATCTGTGATTCAAGTCTTGCACAATTCACAGCGCTCACCATAGCACATACCCTCCCCAATGTCTATCACCCAGCCACCCCGTCCCTCCCACCCACCCCCACTCCAGCAACCCTGTTTGTTTCCTGAGATTAAGAATTCCTCTTATCAGTGAGGTCATATGACACATGTCTTTCTCTGATTGACTTATTTTGCTCAACATAACACCCTCCAGTTCCAGCCACGTCGTTGCAAATGGCAAGATCTCATTCCTTTTGATGGCTGCATAATATTCCATTGTGTATATATACCACATCTTCTTTATCCATTTATCTGTCGATGGACATCTTGGCTCTTTCCACAGTTTGGCTATTGTGGATACCAGAATGAGTAATTTTTAAAGTAGACTATTAGTGGCCTGTGTTGTACTAACTGTGGCCAGGACATTGCAAAACATGGAATTGACATAACAAATATTATGGAAATGAATGTTTTTCTTTGTGCAAATATATCTATGTGTATAAATGAATTAGCAGAAAGGGTGATCAGAGCAGTGGCATGAGGAGTAAAAGCCAATATATATCTTTTGGATTTACCATACTGCCTAACCACAAAATGAAAGATGGATGCAATCATTGGTTAGCCAGGAGGTAAGACTAACTGATTTACTGGTAGCATTAGATGACAAATGTATAAATTGTGGAATGACAGATATTCCATCACATCATGAATTAAAACAGAAGAGACTGGGGGAAAATTTATACTTATACATATTTTATAATTAAGAAAGAATAAGAGTCCTTGAAAAATAAAACTTTCAAAAAGCTAAGGAACTGGGCGCCTGGGTGGCTCAGATGTTTAAGCATCTGCCTTCGGCTCAGGTCATGATCCCAGAGTCCTGGGATCGAGTCCCGCATCGGGCTCCCTGCTCCTTGGGAGCCTGCTTCTCCCTCTGCCTCTCTCTCTCTCATGAATAAAAATAAAATCTTAAAAAAAAAAAAACAACTAAGGAACTATCATTTCTTTTCGTATCCTTTTTTTCCCTTTCACTTTCATAAATGGGAATGACCATCTATGAATACAGTTAAAAATGCCAAGTCTGTCCCAGTGCTTTCCAAACGTTAATGTGTTTATTTGTCACCAAAGGATGTCTTGAATTATGTTACCACATGAATTGAGGGGCTGAATAATGGCTCACCCAAAACATTTACAATCTAATCCTGGAATTTGTGAATGCTAATTTACATGCCAAAAGTACTCTGCAGATGTGATTAAGGGCCTTGAGATAGGGATATTATCCTGGATTATCTGACTGAGCCCTAAATGTAATCACAAGTGTCCTTATAAAAGGAAGGCAGGAGACAGATTTGGAAAAAGGCAATTGAAACAGACTGGAAAGGAGAGACTGGAAGATGCTACACTGTGTCTTTGAAGATGGGCTGTGAGCCAAAGAATGCAGGCAGCCTCTAGAAGCTAGAAAAGGCAAGAAAATGGATTTTTCCTACACCCTACAGAAGGAATGCAGGCTTGCTGATGCCTTGATTTTAGCCCTGGGAAACTGATTTGACTCCAGAACCGTAAGATAATAAATTCGTGTTCTTTTTTTTTTAATTTTTTTTTTAATTTTATTTATTTATTTCAGAGAGAGAGAGAATGAGAGATAGAAAGCACGAGAGGGAAGAGGGTCAGAGGGAGAAGCAGACTCCCCGCCAAGCAGGGAGCCTGATGTGGGACTCGATCCCAGGACTCCAGGATCATGACCTGAGCCGAAGGCAGTCGCTTAACCAACTGAGCCACCCAGGCGCCCTAAATTCGTGTTCTTTTAAGCCACTAAATCTGTGGTAATTTTTTACAGCAGCAATGGAAAATTAATACAAATCATTTCAATTTCTTTAAAAAAAGAACTTGTATGCTTATTAGCATTGTTTATAACACTAAAAAAATATAGTAATAACTAAAACTCCAAAAAGTTTAAAATTATGCACAACCATTAAAAACTGTCAGAAAAATTATGTGGAGCACAAGAGGATATATTAGGCTCTTTAAAAAGCAGGTAACACGCTGTGAATTGTGTAAGACTGTTGAATCACAGATCTGTACTTCTGAAACAAATAACGCAACATATTTTAAGAAAAAAGAAAAAGAAGAAGATAGCAGGAGAGGAAGAATGAAGGGGAGTAAGTCAGAGGGGGAGACGAACCAGGAGAGATGAGGGACTCTGAAAAACAGGTTTCTGGAGGGGAGGAGGGTGGGGGGATGGGTTAGCCTGGTGATGGGTATTGAGGAGGGCACATTCTGCATGGAGCACTGGGTGTTATGAACAAACAATGAATCACGGAACACTACACCAAAACAAATTATGTAATATATGGTGATTAACATAACAATAAAAAATTTAATAAAAGCAGGTAACATAATTTTTTAAAAATTTCATGTGTGAAAAAAAATATATGTGTGCATACTTTAAATTTCCTGTATTTTTTTTTAAGATTTTATTTGACAGAGAGAGTGAGCGAGCACAAGTAGGGGAAGCAGCAGGTAGAGGGTGAGGAAGAAGCAGGCTCCCTGCTGAGCAGGGAGCCTGATGGGGGGGCTCGATGCGGGGCTCTATCCCAGGACCCTGGGATCATGACCCCAGCTGAAGGCAGATACCTAATGACTGAGCCACCCAGGAGCCCCAAAATTTCCTGTAACTCTACAGACTGAATTCTGTTCCCAAAATTCATGTTGAAGCTCTAACCTTCAGGGTGACTGTATTTGGAGATAGGGCTTTTAGAAGGTAATTAATGTTAAATGAGGTCATAACGGTGAAGTCTAATCTGATAGGACTGGTGGCTTTATAAAAAGAAAGCTCTCTCTCCATGCACATTCACCAAGGAAAGGCCTTGTGAGTACTCAGTAAGTAGGCGGCTATCTACAAGCTTCCCTGGAACCACACCATGCTGGCATACTGATTTTGGACTTCTAGCCTCTAATACTGTGTGAAAAATTTGTTGCTTAAGTTTACGGTACTTTGTTACTTCAGCCCAAGCAGACTAAGATTTAAGTGTGTAACTAGGAAAATAATTATCTTTTTAGCAATAACAACAACTTTGAAAGGTTATTTTTAAGATTTTATTTGAGATAGGGTAGGGGGGACAGGCAGAGAGGGAGAGGTATAGACGGTATAGACTCCCAGCTGAGCAGGGAGCTGGAGACTGGACTCAGTCGATCCTGGGACCCTGGGATCATGACCTGAGCTGAAGGCAGACGCTTAACCGACTAAGCCACCAGGCACCCTGAAAGGCTATTTTACATAAAGTTTACCTAAAAAGAGTTGCAAACAAAAAGCAAAAACACCTGGCTTTGTCTATATTCCGGGTCCTACAGTTCTTTAAAGTACAATGTTATGACGCTTTATGAGATTCCTATAGTTCTGATGCCTAGTAACACTGATATTTATCATTTATAACCCCCTCAACTCTCTTGATCTTATGATCTGAGCAGAGAGAATATAAAATGATGGGTAATTTTTTAGTAATGACTGCACTAATAAAAATATATGCCTCATAATTACAATCAGTCACTCTACACTAGTCATTTGAAGTTAGTCTTATGTAATTGGATGACCATATGCCTGATTTGCCTGGGATGGTCCTGATTTATGTCCACTGTCCTGGTGTAATTGTTAGCAGTGTCTACTTTCATTCTCAAGAAAGTCCTGGCAAACTATGGTTATTCTATATATAATCAATTACGGAATAATTGTATTTTAAAACTTTATAAATTTAGTGGTCTGGGACAGGAAATACCAATTGTCACTAAAATCTGGAGAACATGGTTGTCACAGTAATTATTTAAATAATTTTCTTCCAATGGAAACCAGAGTAAATTTTGTGAATGAATTGAGAAGAATCAGGTGCCAAAACATTTTTAGATGATTTTAAAACCACTCAAGAATCCAAATTTTTTAATTTATTCAAAGTGTTAAGATTATTCAAAGGAAAATGTCAATGCATCTAGAATTCTAGAATGGATCACACCATGTTTCAAAAATGTATAAATAAATAATTGAGTTTATCAATTTGACTATTCTGGAAGATGAACGTTCTAGACATTTTCTAGATAGGTAACAGCTCCAAAGTCCTTCCCTTAACATAAAATAACATAAAAAAATAAATAAATGGCTTAGATTTTAGGATTGGGGCCACTAAAATCTGATTGGTCATCTAAAATTTGTATCCTACCATTAAAACTGAATATAATAATATGCTGACTCAAGTTCCCTAAGGACTCATGGTGCTGGCTTTTCTTTATAATAGTAAAAACAAGCCTTTTTCTTTTTTTGTAATTTTATGGTTTTATTAACACAAATATGATGTGCACATAAGCTGTCTATTCATTTTCTTGGCTGCGCAGCGTAGCATTGGGACTGGTAATTCAGATGGCCAGCTAGGTTGGTCTTTCCAGTAGCTTTGTGGTTCTTGGAGGAAACATTGTGAGCAATCTCTGCACAGTAAGATGTGTTGCACATCAGGAGCACTTCAAGCTCCTCAACATTGTGGACTAGGAACTTCAGAAGCCACAGGGGAACATGTGCTTTGTTTTCTTGTTGCTCCTGTAAACAGTTTCGGGCATCAAGATCTAACCCTTGAATCTTCTGTGCACCCTGTCTATGACTCTGGGTTTCCGCCAGTTGTGCTTAATTTTGACATATGGGTCTGACTGGTGCTGGATGAACTTCTTGATTCTCTTTTTAATGGTATTGGGCTTCAACAGAGGTCTGAGGGCAGCCATGATGCCAAGTAAGAGATGGCTCAAAAACAAGTCATTCTTAAGAATTACACATTTAAAAGAGAACCCAACAGGAATGTGAAAAAAAAAAAAACCAAACTCTTTTCTTCCTAGGATTTTCTAGGCAATTAACAAACAAAAGAGGGAAAAAAACACATTTAAAAGAGAACCCAATAGGAATGTGAAAAAAAAACAAACTCTTTTCTTCCTAGGATTTTCTAGGCAATTAACAAACAAAAGAGGAAAAAAACAGCCCGAATGGTAAATTCAGATTGGCCACACGAGATCAGCTTTCCACATCTGCAAAAATACAATACCTGTATCATCTCTGTTACTAAAAATGAAAACAGGAAAAAATATAATTGTACAACTGCTTTAGAAAAATTCAGAGAATCATACTCATTTAGTGTTTTTCACATTCACTTCATATACTCGATTCATATATGCCATAGTGTGTGTTTATATTTTAAAGTAAAGAGTCTACTGCTTGCATGTATTACATCTCCCAACATCAACATATATGTATACTTTAAAGACTAGTCTTTGGATTCCTGTTCTTCCTCTGATTCTCGTGACCGTTTCCGGGAATTCAATGAACCTTCTGTTTGCAAAGAAGATGCAGTTGCAACAACAGCATCTCTAAATCCCTGAGGCTGGAAGATGAAAAAATATACAAGTATGGTTTAAGAACAACTAAAATAACGATTAGTTTTCCAAATATTTTTAAGTAATTGATAAAAGAGCTACTTTATTCTTGAGACGGAAGTTATTAACCACTGCGAATGAAGAGGTTAAACCTCATGAAGAGGTGTCCAAGCCAAAGCTGTACTACCGTATTTTATATCTACAGTATTTTATATCTGTATTTATTTATTTACATATTGTTTATATATACACAACAGAAATACCAGTGCATTATACAAATGCACTCTAAAAATCTTAACAAACTTTATGGTGACTCTATTGAAGAGTAAAAGGAAGTAACATGTACTAATTACTTAGGTGCTTTACAAATTTACTTTCACAACTACTCTAATTTTCCAATTAGGATACTTTAAATGCACCTAAGCAGTACAAAGACTAAGTCGATAATTCAGTTTCAGAATCTCTTTCTATTTCTGTTTTTGTCCTTAAAAAATGAGATGCCAAGAATATATTTGGCTCAACATTACTGATAAATATGCACATTTCAGCCAAAAAAGTGTTCTATGATTTTAAATTATAGGAAAATTAACATTTTAAAGCAGGATATATTTGGTGGCTATGATAGATCTATAATATCTACAGACTAAAATGAATAACGTTAATATTTTTTCTTGGAAAATCTTTAACAACTTTTACTTTAAAAATTTTTAATATCCTAAATTAAAAAAAAATTTTTAATATCCTGACATTACATATGGCATGGAACACACTAGCCTACAAATAAGTATTTTCTCTGTTCTTAAGAATAAATTTCAGTCCAATTGTCACTAGAATATTCTGTATATATACTACTATTTTGGGGATAATGTTCTGAGCATCAAAAGCTGTCCTCAAATATACTTGCTGCCTACAGAAGTTAACAGAAGCAATTTGTAAATGCTCTCTTCAGATAATTACTGCCCACCAACACCAAAACCCCACTCTAATCAAATAATACTGACTGTGATTTGAAACAGTACTGTAGATTCCTTCTGGCTTGGTGATTTGTACAATGTTGCCAACCTGCTTAGAGAAAAATAAATATATACAAACACATGATCTTCATTAGACGACTGATTTAATAATTTAAATTTATAGTTTTTCACTACAATTCTATTGTTTTGTTCCCTAAGGACACAGAAAACAAAGAAATATCAGAAAGACTCCTTTAATCAATAGCTATACGTATATATATAATAATTATTACATATAATAATGAGTTGTTTATATAAGTGGAACTTTATTTATTTTTAAAGATTTTATTTATTTATTTGACAGAGAGAGACACAGCGAGAGGGGGAGCACAAGCAGGGGGAGTGGGAGAGGGAGAAGCAGGCTTCCTGCTGAGCAGGGAGCCCAATGCGGGGCTCAATCCCAGGACCCTGGGATCAGGACCTGAGTTGAAGGCAGATGCTTAACGACTGAGCCACCCAGGCGCCCCTATATAAGTGGAATTTTAAAGCAACCTAAACATCCAATGAGTAATTCAAATAAATTTCTACATGACAAAATACTACTGATGCTTAAGAAGATAATGTGGAAAAAATATTTAATGAGATAAAATATTAATAATACATTAAGTTATGCTCTATGAGTCACATTTATGAGTATGTAAATGCACATATATAGAAAAATTACTAGAAGACTACAATTAAAAAGTTAAGTTGTTATTACAAGATATTGTTTTTTTTGTTTATGTTTTTCCAACTTTCTGCAGTAATTGTGTACTTTTTGTGTGGTACGATAGAAGTATTAAGACAATTTCTTGGGATATAAATGAGGAGAAATACTCTTATCACACTAATACAAATAAACAAGGAAGACATTTTCTTTCAAAATGATTATATCCAGAAGAATCACTGTCAAGACAGAACAAGGTCTGTTTCGGTAGAATCTTATTATGTACCCTACAAAGTAACATAAAATTGAAAGCTGAAAAGTAGTTAGATACAAAATTCTAAGCTCTTACTAAGTTTGCTCAAATACTGTAATAGCAACAAATATAAGCAAAAACTTTTATTAAATTTTTTAATAAGTAATCTCTATGTCCAACATGGGGCTCGAACTCATGACCCCAAGATCAAGAGGCTTATGCTCTATAGACTGAACCAGCCAGGTGGCCTATGCAAAAACTTTTTTTTTTTTTAAGATTTCATCTATCTTATTTGAGAGAGAGGGAGAAAGAGCAAGGGGAGGAGCAGAGGGAGAGGATCTCAAGCAACCTCCACACTGAGCACGGAGCCAGACTTGGGGCTCAATCCCACAACCCTGAGATCATGACCTGAGCTGAAACCAAGAGTTGGATGCTTAATTGACTGAGCCACCCAGGCGCCTAAGCAAAAACTTCTATTTTTTTATTTAAAAAATATTTTTTAAAAAAGATTTTATTTATTTATTTGACAGAGAGAGAGAGACAGCAAGAGCAGGAACACAAGGAGGGGGAGTGGGAGAGGGAGAAGCAGGCTTCCTGCCGAGCAGGGAGCTCGATGTGGGACTCAATCCCAGGACCCTGGGATCATGACCTGAGCCGAAGGCAGACGCTTAACAACTGAGCCACTCAGGCGCCCTAAGCAAAAACTTTTAAAGTGCTTTCAAAATTACTTTAAAACTGATATAACTTATTCACAATAGTCAAAAGACAGAAGCAACCCAAGTGTCTGACAGACGGATGGATAAACAAAATGTAATGGTTTTGGTTTTTGTTTTTTAAAGATTTTTTATTTTTTATTTGACAGACAGTACAAGCAGGGGGAGCTGCAGTCAGAGGGACAGGGAGAAGCAGGCTTCCTGTGGAGCAGGGAGCCCGGTGTGGGGCTCGATCCCAGGACCCTGGGACCATGACCTGAGCCGAAGGCAGACGCTTAACCACCTGAGCCACCCAGGCGCCCCAACAAAATGTAATTTATACATATAACAGAGTATTATTTAGTCTTGAAAAGGCAAGTTCTTGTCACATGTAACAGTGAACACTGAAAACTATGCTAAGTGAAAAAAGGCCAGGCACAACAGGACAAATATTGTTATCATTCCACTTATATGAGGTGCCTAGAGTAGTCAGATTCAGAGACAGAAGGTAGAATGGTGGTTGCCATAGGCTGGGGGGAGGGAAGAATAGGTGGGAATGGGAACAGTTTCAGTTGGGGAAGATGCAAAAGTTCTGGAGATGGATGGTGGTGATGACTGCACAATAATGTGAATGTACTTCATGTCACCAAACTACGCTTAAACGATTAAAATGATACACTTTATGATATGTACGATTTACCACAATTTAAAAAAATTAAGTAGGCTCTATACCCAACATGGGGCTTGAACTCAGAACCCCAAGATCAAGTTGCATGATCTACTGACTGAGCCAGCCAGGCACCCCACAATTTACCAGTTTTAAAAAATTGATATATGTGATGAGCACCGGGTGTTCTACACAACTGATGGATTGTTGAACACTACACCTGAAACTAATGATGTACTTTGATGGCTAATTGAATTTAAATTTTAAAAAATACCATATCCCTCTCCCCTCAAAAAAGATTTGACATAACTGCACAAAATGTAGATTCTAACTTAGAGAAAAATCATAAACTGAGTTAACAGGACCACTTATTTACATACAATGTAATGTTGATTTCTTTCTTTTTTACTGGCTGCTTGGAGTTTTTTTTTTTTTTAAAGATTTTATTTATTTATATGAGAGAGAGAGAGTGCACACAAGCAGGGGGAGGGCAGAGGGAGAGGGAGAAGCAGGCTCCCTGCTCAGCAGGGAGCCCGATGTAGGACTCGATCCCAGGACCCCAGGATCATGACCTGCACCAAAGGCAGACGCTTAACAACTGAGCCACCCAGGCACCCCTGGAGTTTATTTTCTACTTGGTTCAAGGCACATGGTTACAGGATGTCAGGAAGGCTTGAGTGTGGCTTGGAGAGTAAATAGTGGGGTTCCCTCAACTTCCCTTTTGGTGTTTTGCTGTTTTGATATAGAAGAACCCAACTGCTTCTGCTTGCTGCAGCCTGTCTAGTCTACCAGGAGGGGAGGAGAAGAGCTCTGCTGAGCCCAGCACATTCTGAATGAGCCTGGTGGCTGGTGGTGGCCACTCAGGACTGGGGCCCAGTGTTGACTTTGCCAGGCTGGCCACCACGCTGCTTCCTCATGGCTTCCAGAGCCAAGTCACAGGTGATCATGCTGTTGGAGGCCTGAGGAGATTCTGAGCATTCTGGGGACTCCAACACTGTAGCCATGAATGGGAGAGTGGAATTCCTGAAAAAAAAAAAAAAAAACCTTGCCCACCAGTGACCCGAGTCAGCCTTGGGGAAAGCAGGGTGGTGAGGGATGGCTGCACTCGCACAGGAGCTGTTACCAGAAGTGGAACCCAGGACTCATTGGAAATAGCCAGAGGTAGCCACGAGCAAGCTGCTGGAGGAGAAGGCTGCCATGCTGTCGCTTATGGGCTGGTGGGAACCTTGGCAGTAACCCCTCATGGGCCTCGACAGGTGATCATGGGGGACCAGGATGCTAGGCCAAGGAGCCCATTTGCAGAGGAGGCCCCGGAAGGCTGCTCCACAAAAGAGGCAGGAGTAGTGTCTGATTCGTTTTCAAAGACAATTCAAAAAGGACATCTTGGTTTATGATCTGTTACTCTTCAAAGTTTGAAATTGCCCCTCTATTCAGAAACAATTCAAAAGAAAAGTAATCAGGGGTGCCTGGGTGGTGCAGTTGGTTAAGTATCTGACTCCTGATTTCGGCTCAGGTCATGTTCTCATGGTCCTGGGATCAAGCCCCACTGAGCGCTGAGCCTGCTTGAGACTCTCTCCCTCTCCTTCTCCCTCTGCCCTTTCCTCCTGGTGCATGGACACACTCTCTCTCTCTCAAATGAACAAATAAATCTTCAAAAGAGAAAAGAGAAGCAATCAGAGATCACAGTCCATTAGCTTAATGTTTTAGGTTTGTACTTTTAGGACAAAACCAGCAGAATCCAAAATGTCATATACTCTGTAACTGTGATTGTAGGCAAAAATGTAGTATGTAATATAAGAATAGTTGTGTTAGGGACAGAGATTATAAATTCTTATAATGCTTTAGGGTTGATAATTCTATCTTTAATACAAAATATAACAAAAATTGGGGCACTTGGCTGGCTCAGTTGGTAGAAGATGTGACTTGATCTCCAAGTTGTAAGCTGGAGCCCCACTTTGGGCCCAGAGATTATAAAAAAAATTTTTTTAATAAATAAAAGTTAAAAAAATATACATATATATATATAAATAACAGAAAAATAGAGGCATGGTGTATTTTAACCTGCCTTATTAAAAAAAAACTCTCTTTATGGGCGCCTGGGTGGCTCAGTTGGTTGAGCGACTACCTTCGGCTCAGGTCATGATCCTGGAGTCCCGGGATCGAGTCCCGCATCGGGCTCCCTGCTCAGCAAGGAGCCTGCTTCTCCCTCTGACCCTCCCCCCCCTCATGTGCTCTCTCTCATTCTCGCTCTCTCAAATAAATCTTTAAAAAAAAACCACTCTTTTTGAGTCAATAAAACAAAAATTAGCTAACCTTCTGAAAAATTAGTTATCTAAATCACCTCATATCACCATATGTCCAAAAAGATACCCAATACATCTGAATTTTCTGAGAAAATTATTAAAAAGTAAATAAGCTTTTGGGGCACCCGAGTGCCTCAGGCGTTTGGCATCTGCCTTCGGCTTGGGTCATGATCCCAGGGTCCTGAGATCAAGCTCTGCATCGGGCTCCCTGCTTCTCCCTCTCCCTCCGCCTGCCGCTCCCCCTGCTTGTGCTCTCTCAAATAAATAAAATCTTAAAAAAAAAAAAAAGTAAGCTTTTAGAAGCTTTTACATGTTTATTAAAAATCCTCGGGGTGCATGAGTGGCTCAGCCATTAAGCGTCAGCCTTTGGCTCGGGTCATGATCCCAGGGTCCTGGGAATGAGCCCCACGTTGGGCTCCCTGCTCAGTGGGGAACCTGCTTCTCCCTCTCCCACTCCCCCTGCTTGTGTTCCCTCTCTCGCTGTGTCTCTCTCTGTCAAATAAATAAATAAAATCTTTAAAAATAATAAAAAATAAAAATCCTAAAGTCAAGTGGGCATTAAATATTCAGAATGAAAAATTTCCTCAAATTCCTAAGTAAAAATAAAATAATTTTATATTTCATATCTGCATCTCAAGAGATCTTTTTAAACAACAAACTAAACCAAAGAATCACTTGGCTCATGGCCCCAGCTGAGATGAAGCTTAACATATGGCTGAACTACACAGTTTGGGTCAGGAAGAAATAAGACAGAAGCACAATTTGTGCTCTAAAGCTGAGCACACATATGAAACACTGTGTGGGGGTGTTGATATATTACTCCATTCTACCACCAGATCTTCTTGGCAAAGAGTGATATAATTCTGAACAATCTCAGCCTCATATTATCATGAATATGCAAACTGGAGAAAAACCTGCACAATATACAGGACAGAGACAAAAGTACTTATTTGAATAACTGTTGGAATGTCATTTCATTGTTAGTTGAAGGGTAAAAATCAGGTGTTTCTGGTGAAAGACGGGGACTAGAGTATAAGATGGGACACTTGGGTTCAATTCTCAATATAGATTTGGCTAGTCAAGGTTTTTAGTTTTCTGCTCAAACTGGAAGTGTTCATTTTTATAATTATTTTTCCCCAGTGTGAATTTCTATTTTTGTCCTTTCAAGATAAACTAAATTTTATTTTATTTTATTTTTAATTTTATTTATTTGAGAGAGAGAGTGAGAGAGAGAGCACAAGAGGAGGTAGGGTCAGGGAGCCAGATGCGGGACTCGATCCCGGGACTCCGGGATCATGACCTGAGCCGAAGGCAGTCGCTTAACCAACTGAGCCACCCAGGCGCCCAAGATAAACTAAATTTTAAAACACAGACATTTCATGCAACTTTAATGACTTAAAGATAACTGGTTTCTTTTCTTTTTTTAAGATAACTGGTTTCAAACAATAAAGAACAAAACTTTTAATTCTCTTAAATGAAGTCAACTTATTTTGATTATAATAAAAGTATGCACATTACTTATCATATATCCCCAGCCTGGGGGAAAAAAACAGTTTGGAAAAAAAGGATTTTATCTAAAAAGGAGGATAAGAGCTATACTTTCAGATTTGCTGGCCATCAACACAATACTGTAATTACACTGTAGAAACAGCAATTATAAGAAAAGAAACAGACTCTATTATAGAGTCAGCTATAAAATTTGGATACTACTACTTATTTCATAGTTATTTAGAAAATAAAATGAAATACTAATACACACACACAATGCTTAGCACAATAAAGGACAGTTAATAAAAATTCAATAAATGGTAGCCATGAATTACTCTTAATCTTTCTGGGCAGCCTTGGTCTTCTCACTTCTATGTAGGTATAGATCCTTCAAAGAGTTATTGAAGGGATTATATGAAATACTGTATATAAACTACCCAGTTAAATACCTATCATAAGCAAGCAGTCCTAAAATGATAATTTGGGATATAAAAAAACTTATGGAACAGAGTTCCCTTAAATCTATCTAATTCAGGGCACCTGGGTGGCTCAGTTGGTTAAGTGTCTGCCTTTGGACCCTGATCCCAGGGTCCTGGGATGGAGCCCCGCATCGGCCTCCCTGTTTGCAGGAAGCCTGCCTCTTCCTCTCCTCCGCACTCGTGCTCTCTCACTCTTTCTCAAAATAAATAAATAAAATCTTTAAGTCATTCTTTTTTTTTTTAAGATTTTATTTATTTATTTGAGAGAGAGAGACACAGAGAGAGAGGGAACACAAGCAGGCGGAGTGGGAGAAGCAGGCTTCCCGCTGAGCTTGGACCCCAGGATCATGACCTGACCTGAGGGCAGACGTTTAATGACTGAGCCACCCAGGCGCCCCTAAATAAATAAAATCTTTAAAAAAAAAGATGAAATATCTTGCTTTGCTCATATTATTTTTATTCTTTAGATGTATTCTATTAGTGAATATTTAATAGTAGAATAACAGTGGATGACTACTACTATATACTAGTTCAAGGAGAATCCCTAAAAGCATTTGAACACTTTACAGAACACCTAAATCTGGGAAAGTATAAGCAATATGTTCAAAAGATTCTCATCTGGATAACTGTTGTGAAATCTTTACAATGGGGTTTGTTGCTGAAGAAAGAGTTCCTTTTGTGATCCAGAATACAATGACTTATTTAGAGAAGTGGGGGATGGAAGCCAATCGTAAAGCACTATGTGTTAAAAAAAAAAAAAAAAGTTACCTGAGCTCTTTGGAAATGCTATTTTTTTTTTTTATTTATTTATTCATGAGAGTCAGAGAGAGAGAGAGGCAGAGGAAGAGGGAGAAGCAGGCTCCCGCCCAGCAGGGAGCCCGATGCGGGACTCGATCCCAGGACCCTGGGATCATGACCTGAGCCGAAGGCAGACGCTTAACCATCTGAGCCACCCAGGCCCCCAAA